AAACTTAACTTGTTTATTTCATATGGGCAAATGCCCTATTTATAGGCTCAAGAGAGCCGGTTACATAATAGAGTTGCAATCGTTTGATTGCAATACGACATACATATTTACAATATAGCCTGGAATTTTGTATACATTAGTATAATTCGTTAGCCAGTATATATAATGTTATTGTTGACCCTTAGACCATCTCCAAACCATCTCCATTTCCTCCTCCCCCCCCCCCATAAATGAAGCAAAAAATGGAATAAATAGTGTTTCATCTCTAACCCTACTCCATTTCCTACCCCATTTTTTACCCTAAAAAGTATATTCCTAGAATATTTCATTTTTATAACTTATATATATTGTCAAATACACCCCTCTACTAATTAAACTCTATATTTATGATTAATTAATATAAATTAGTATATAACATGATATTATAAATATTAAATATAGCATTTAAATTATAATTAGTGGATAAAATAAACTAGAAATGTATAAAATAAAAATGAGAGAAACTAAAATTGACAACCAAACTTTACCTTCATTTTTATAGATATGAATAATATTCCTCCGTATATGGGAGAATACTATTCATATCTTCAAAATGGAGGTAAAAATGAGGTAAAGTTGGAAAAGAATAGGAGAAGAAATGAAAGAATAAATGAAGTTTGAAGGCAGGTTGGAGATGCCTTAAAAAATACTTAAAAAAAACTGCAATTCCAAATCAAAGAACATTTAAAAATACAAAGCTTACCAAAGCCGATAGAGTTTACATAATTACAAAAAGCACCCCAAGCAAAAGTTTCACTGAAGCTCAACAAAACCCCTCGGCTGTATTACATCGGGCCGCCGCTAACAAATCACCAACTCTCGGTTATTGTCTGCAAACCCTAGTCTCTCTCTATCTCTACTAAATTATCATTCAAATTCGTTTCATAAGGCAAGTTTAATTTTCGATTTGTGAATTCATCTCATAACAATCTCGGTTGTCGTTACTTACACTGGAATTAATTCAATTCTTGAAGCTCAGCTGATAGTCATGGCAGGGACAGATGCTACGGAGAGTGGTTTATCATGTGTTAAATGTGGCAAGCCTGCTCATCTTCAGTACGTATTTATGTATTTGCGTACGATTTTGAAATTTACTTGCTTCAAGTCACGTGAATTCGTTCAATATTCTCAGAAAAAAGATGCACTTCGATTTGGATGTTAATCATATCACTTTTAAACTTCAAGAGTGTTGTTGCTGAAAAAACTGCGAGAATGATTTGATAATTGTATTACAAATTGGTCGAAGCACTACGTATATGAAATCCGTAACTACCAATTTTGCGTTAGGAAGTTTTAGGGTTTATATAAAAGGATGAAACTGTACCGAATCAATCAAGTAACATAGGAACTCATGAATTGATTGTTCCAGTTGCTTTTGCTTACATTATTCGTATGCTAACTTCATTCCCCTTTCAACTTATTTCAGGTGTCCAAAATGTGTTGAATTGAAGCTTCCACGTGAAGGCGCTGCTTTCTGGTTTGTTACTCTTGTGCCCTATTTTTATCATTAGTACTGGCCATTTACCTTACCATTTAAGTACCTCAAGTACACTTTAGTCATCATCAAACTTTATTATCACTGCAAGTTTATATAGAATTCACATGCAACATATTTTTGTGCTATGTAGTTGAAGATATGTCCATGTTAAATATTAACATAATTGTTACTCTTATCAGCACTCAAGACTGTTTCAAGGCATCATGGAGCTCTCATAAATCAGTTCATTTGAAAGCAAAGTTATCATCAGTTGGAGCAAGCAATCCATGGGAACTTAATATAGCCTCACCAAGTGATGGTTGGCTTTATTGTATTAGGAAAGGACAGTCTCGAACAGCACAAATTCCTCATTTTGATTGGACAGGGTATTGTTTTAGACAAAGCTTCATATTCTTTTTAGCACGTTTTATCTGAACTATCTTTTTCATATTTCCTAATATTTTTGCAGACCATTAAGGCCTTATCCCATATCAAAAAAACGTGTAATACCTGCAGGAATTGAGCTACCTGATTGGGCAGTTGATGTAAGTCATTAACATCATGATTCATGACTATATTTTTGTAATAAGCTTCTACTTTGTGAACATTGATGCATGCTTATATATATATATATATATATATATATATATTCTTTGATATGTTTGCAGACATTTTATATTCATTAGATGTATTTTTCTGATGATATTAAACGTGTAACTTTGTAGGGAACTCCAAAAATCGAGCCTATTAGTGATCTGCAACATGTTGTTGAGGTAATCTATTGTTTCTATTCATGTTGGAGAGCTTTTTTCTTTATTTATGGTGATCTAATGGTCTTTTCAAATGCTTTTGTTTTCTGAAGATAAAAACTCCAGAGCAAATTGAGAGAATGAGAGAAACTAGCCGAGTAAGTTTATTACAAATCTTGAGCAAGTAGTAAAATCATCAGTTATAGTTCAAGAGGGTATAAGTTATTAAAATTATTTATTATTTCACAGATAGCAAGAGAAGTTTTAGATGCAGCTGCTCGTGTTGTGCGTCCTGGTGTGACTACTGATGAAATTGATGCTGTTGTCCATGAAGCAACCATTGCTGCTGGTATGTGGATATATGTAATTCATCATTCTTTTTAAAAAAAAATGAAATGTATTCTTATTATAAATTTATAATTGAAAGTTACACTGATTAAATTTACAATTGCTCACTGCAGGAGCATATCCATCTCCATTAAATTATCATTTCTTTCCAAAATCTTGCTGCACGTAGGTACTTCTGTGTACTTGATTTTCCAATCCCATGTATCCTACTTTCTTTTCATTAAACATGAATCCTTGTTGTGTCCACAGGTCTGTTAATGAAGTAATCTGCCATGGGATTCCAGATGGAAGGTATCTATCTACCTTATCCTTTCTTTTTTTATAATGCTATTAATTTAGATTGTCTTTATTAAAGGGCTAAATGCAAGAAATAGCAACATACTTTAATTTATTCATGTGTTATAGCATCTTACTTTCATTTTAGAATTTTTTTTATCTTATTAAGGCGTGTACAAATCTACCCAGTTATAGCATTATACTTTCATTTTTTTTTCTTATTAGGAATCTATACCTTGAAAAAACTTTCTGATAATAGCATTTGTATTTGGATGATATTGCTATGATTGGGTAGATTTTTCAAAGTACAATACTTTAATAGAAATTAGAAAGAAATGAAAAATATGTTGCCATTTCTTGCATTTAAGCATGTTTTAAGTTCGTGTTTATTGCAGCATCCTACTTCCATGTCTTTCTATTGTGCCATTAATTCACATCATCATATTTTAAAATGCAAAAAATAGCAATGTACTTTCATTGATATGTTTGTTATAATATCCTGTTGTCATTTTTTCTTGATCACATTATTGTACTTAGAAAAATCTTCCTGATTATAGCAATGGCATCCAAATACAGAACAATATTTATTGCTATAATTAGGTAGATTTTTTCCAAATACAATGTTTCAGTAATTTAAATCTTTGATTAATTACTTCTGATCTTCATTCATGAATCATGATATAATGGGATCAATGTATCAAATTTCAAGAATTTGTAATTCCAAGTTTTAAAAAAAAAATTGTAATTTTTTGATGCAGGAAATTGGAAGATGGAGATATTGTGAATATTGATGTAACTGTTTATTATAAAGGAGTCCATGGTGAGGTTCTTTATCTTATTCCATTGTTGAGAGGTTTATATGCAGTTGACAACATTGATTACATTTTTGTTTTAGGTGACCTGAATGAAACTTATTTTGTTGGTAATGTTGATGAGGCATCTCTACAGTTGGTCAAATGTACTTACGAGTGCTTGGAAAAAGCAATAGCTATCGGTAAGTATTACTCATCATTATTTTGATGGGATTCAACAGTTCCATTCCTTCATACCAAACACTTGACTTCCTAATATCTTTTATTTATTGCTTGTTATCTTAAGTGAAACCTGGAGTACGCTTTCGTGAAATTGGGGAAATTATAAATCGACATGCTACCATGGCAGGCTTATCTGTGGTAATAATTTATACAACTTATTTATTTATATATTCCCCTCTTCTGTTTGCATTGATTCCGAAGATGTTTATTCTTTTAAATTTCAGGTGAAATCCTATTGCGGGCATGGTATCGGAGAACTCTTCCATTGTGCACCAAACATACCCCATTATGCCAGTATCCTAAAATTAGCGTTCTAGTGTTTAGTATAGTGGCATCAAGGAAGGAATGGAATGATTCATTCCATCGGAATGAAAGAATCTGTTTGTTACCATTCTAGAAGGCATGTAATTCCTACATGCCATATGCCAATCAAACATGATCATGGAATGTAATGACTTATTCCATTCCGTTGCCTTGTTTATTCCATTCCATTCCTTTGGTTTATTGGTATCGTGACCTTAACATGAAGTAGGAAATAAAACCGTTGGTGTGATGAAAGCTGGACAAACCTTCACTATCGAGCCTATGATAAATACTGGTAATTTTCTAAAAAAAATACAAAATAAATGCTTTCCAATTTCTATTTACTTAAAATATAATATAATTAATATATATATATATATTTTTTAGGTGTCTGGCGTGACAGAATGTGGCCCGATGGTTGGACAGCTGTCACCGCCGATGGCAAGCGCAGCGCTCAGTTTGAGCATACTCTCTTGGTATATGGCTGCTACACTTATTATAAATCAATTTGTTAAATTATTATGATTTTTATTATTTTATTTATTTAAAAAATAATTATGTTTTCAGGTAACTGAGACTGGAGTGGAAGTTCTTACAGGGCGATTGCCCACATCTCCCAAGGTTTTCCCATGGCTAAGCTCGTAGTGGGATGGGCCGGGCCCACCTTGTAATATTAAAGAGGAGGAATATGATTGATAAGATTAAAATTTAAAAGTGAGGGAGAGGTTTTAAATTATTTGTGACGTTACGTTGGTATGAATAATGATAGAATTGATTGAGAATTTTGGCTTCCAATTTGTACACATTTTCACATGGTTTGATATTATTTTCATCACGTTTTAATGATATATTATATAGTTTGGGTTTTTGGACCATATATGCTTTTGTTGGTGTGTTCATAATATATGATTATAATTGGATATGTGGGATTTCCTCGTAACTTTTATGCTTCTCTTTGATGTTTGTAAATTGTCAACTTGTTTTATTTATTTATCTTGAAAATGATGATAGGTCGTGTTATATTGAATAAGGGGTGTTGAGATGTGGTCAAAACTAGATAAGCCGGCCCAATAAATTTACTACAATTCGGTTGGTTTAAGGAATAAAACAAAAAAATAAAACTTGAGATAGTTCATGCTTCATGGTTTGGTTTGTGGTTTGAAGATTCTAACGTTGACCAGATCAGAAGTGTATTTTATACATATTTATATTTGAATACATGAATATTTATATTCGAAAGTTAACTGGTTGATATTAATATTCTGGTTTAGGGATAATCACAAACTGACCAATTTTTCAACGGGGATTTATCGTTTTGATTATCTTTTAGATAGAGACAAGATAACCACCTAAAAAACAATTTGCTGTTGTATGATTAGTAAAATCGGAAATTTCATTAATTTAAACTAAAAAAATTAAAAACTACATAATAATAATTAAAACCAACGTATTATATTCGGTTTGCTATTTCTTCCATTAACGCTAAAGCCATTTGAAGGACGTGTCCATATAGATGATCGGTGTTCTTGGCCATTTTTAATTTTCTTTTTATGCTTGAAAGCTTGTATATGTAAACTAGCATAAACTATGGTATTTTAACACTATAAAATAGTTGTTTAAAAAAAAAATAGCCGTTTGACAAACTGAACCCACTGGAACTTGTTTGGCTACTCCAGAAGAACGGAGATTCTTGGCCGGTTTGTTAAATAAAAATTAAATGAAAAAATATTAGAACGAGCAAAAGTAATGATATCACTCATTAAATTCAAATATAATTTCTAAAAAAAAAAAAAAAAAACTTTTTCAAAAAGGTTTGACATACATTATGAAATTGAATTGAATTAAAAAGCTTTCAAAATCCAGCAGATCCTACTAACGATGAGTATGATGCATTTTCATCATTAGTTTTAGGCTTCTGCTGTGATGATGATGATGATGATGATGTACTTGATGTCCTTGAGGTATGCATAAGAATTTGTCCCATTTCTATATTCGCAATTTCACATAGTTTTAATCTTTGTCGTTTTGCTTCCTCCGCGTCACCTTCCCAACAACATTCAGAAACTATTTCCATTGCATTCTCTAAATTTTCCTCACCCACAACCTCCCCGTTTTGTATAAGAACAAGATAAACTTGCTCAGCACAAGCCTTTCGAATCTGTCAACAGGAATTACCAAAGGAATAAAAGATTGTTAAATGAAAAAAAAAAATAACAATTCACTTTTTACTGATTCGGTTATTATTTATAGCATTCATTTCTTCCTAATTACACCATTGTAGAATGTCTAAATAAGAAAAAAAAAAAAAAGCACATACCTTGGGATATCGATGGGTAAGGAAAGACAGAAGATGAGCGAAAGCCTGGGTATTAGGAGGCTCTGAAATTGAAGCAATGTATCCAAGAATAGCAATGCCAGCATATAACTTGGAGAAGTCCTTTGTTCCTTTCAACTCGGTAGCAAGACATTCCAGAACACCCCCACAAAATACTCCCGTCTGACCCTGCAAATCATTATCCACACCTCACCTTAATACCAACACGTAGGCCCCATTTCTTACACATCACATGACATAACATGTTACGCATCATTTGACTTATATGGAAGCAACTGATACACTAGTGGACTAACCTCCATGTGTAAGAAGATCCTTTTGCTGAAAAGAATCTCTATAGTCTGAAAACAGCACCACATGATTTTAGTAACATCCTTTTGGGTGTTTGTTGTGTTGATACAATATATAAAGTTGAAGTTTATGGTGTGAAACAATAATACCTTCAAGGTGGGAATTATGACTCTGTCGCGTCTTTTGTACTTGTGAAGAACCCAGAGAATGTTATTTGACAAGCTCGATTCTCTGGCGTTTGTTTCACTCTTGTCTTTAACTTTAATAGCTTCAAGATAATCTAACAAACAACCAAGTGAAACCTTTTTCAAAGAATCTTCTAATCCACCCATGGAAATTACTAACCCTGACGCAACATATTTACTGTAACAATCAAACTCAAGCAACTTAACGAAGCGAGGGAAAGAACAACTTGGTACCTGTCATGATGGTTTTTTTGTTAATACAAGACACAAATACATCAATAGGGTCCCACATGTCTCATATATTGTACTGTGTTTGTTATGCAATGGAGTAGGATTGAGACTGACATCAATGGGACAAAAAAATGCACTTTTTTCTAGTTTTGTCTCATTGACGTCAGTCTCAATCTCAGGCATGTCAAATACAGTACAACCTGTTCTGTCATTTCCAAAAAAATAAAATAAAAAATCCACTAGCTTACCCCCCACTTCAAATCACCATCCTTGGGGACAAGTTTTTCTAGTTTTTCTCTATATGGTATTAGAGGAACAAAAACAACATCATTATATAAAATCCTTTGAAGAACTTTTGCAGCCACTTCTCTTAACCTATCCATCTTTTCCAACGCTTGTTTAACAATTCCTCCAACTAATTTGGTTGCAATATCAGCATCAAAAAGTGGAACTGGGGTCTCATTTCCAACTGATTTATCTCTCTTGCATAAAATATATGTACATTTCTCAAGCCCATTCATTGCAGCTGTACGAACCCAAGACCCAACATCACCTCTGTTATCAACAGAGTAATCTTCAAGTGCATTCAATAAACTTTGCATCACTTGGGTTTTTATTGTTGTAAAAAGAGAGGTGTACTCATCTTGTTGGAATCCGGAAGATTCTGTAGTATTGGTGAGTGTTTCACACACTAATACAAGTCCTTTAACGGAATTTACCCGAGTTTCAGCATCCCTATCTTCTGGGTTATCCTAGTCACGCAAATAAGATATTCATCAACTGGTTTCTAGGCATATCTACATGAAATAGCAACGTACTTTCATTTATTTATTTTAACATTATACTTTTTAACTTTTTTTTCATAGGTAAATGCTAGAAATAGGATCATACTTTTATTTATTTATTTATTATAGCATTTTTACTTTCATTTTTTCCCATTACAACATTGTACTTTGTAGAATCAGGTAATCAACCCAGTTATAGCAATGTGATCCAAATACAAAGACCCTTTCACTGCTATAATTGGATAAAATTTTTAAAGTACAATGTCCTAAGAAGAAAACAAATTTGGAAATACAATGTCATGATTGGATATGTTTTCAAAGTGCAATGCCTTATAAAGAAGGGGTAAATACATTAAAATAGCAATCTACTTCCATTTATTTCTTTATTATAGAAGTGAAAATGCATTGTAGTTGGACAAAATTGCTAAAACAGGGTAAAACTTTTCTAAATACAATGCTACAATAAACAAATAAATAGAAGTACCTTGTTATTTCTAGCATCTACCCCTAATTTCAATTAACAGGGAATTTCATCAATAAAAAGTTACCTCGATTTCACAAGATCTGCAAAGCTTTTGAAGCACAATCTTCCACCTTGTGGCAAGAAACTCAAAGGGTAAAACCCCAATTGCCAATGCAGATCCTCTTCTCACAGCTACATTTGCATCAGTCAACTGCTCCAGATACCTTAGGGTAATATCAAATGTCCCTTTATCTTTTGTTTTAGCAAAATACGTTGGAACAAAATGTTTGAAAGCTTCATTGGCAGCATTCTGCACATATTAGAAAAAAAGGAAGGATATTAGGAGTTGAAGACTTGAAATTATAAAAAGTTAGTTGGTAAATAAAAAACTTGGTAGACAGAATTACCTGTATTTGAGCATTGGGATGCCTCAAATTCTCATTAAGAGTATCAAGCAGACTTCTTTTTATTTTTTCTGTTAAAGTTATGTTCACGATAGAAATACACTCAATAAACCTGGAAACTGCAGCTCGCATTATCTCTCCACCTTTTCCCCTATACAATCTTGCTTTCTCAATTGCAGGGACTACACCAGCAACAACTTTCTGCTTATCTGTAATCACAAATTTGAACAAAAGATATAAATGAAAGAGCATTGCTATTATGGGTAAAGATAAAGTACACTGTCTATACTGGGAAAAAAAGAGTAAAGCACATTGCTATTTGCTGCATGTTCTTATTTGATGTTTTTTGGATTCAACTATTTAAATGTGCAAAGGGTACAAACCTAATGGAAGAGCATAACCACAGTTATGTAGAGCTAATACAAGCTCTCCAACTGCCAATGTGGCCCCATGTCGCATGCATAAATCAGAAGCCAAAGTGCATGGGATTAACTTCTCAAGTGCAAAATTCGCAGAATATTCTGGATCATACTTCACAAGAACTGATAAAGCATTTGAGGCAAGTTCTCTCAATCCTTTTTCCTGAAATATTACTTGTGAGTTAGTTGAATGCTTAGAAGTACCAACAATAGGAGGAAAACATACAAACATAAAAAAACAAATGAATGAGACTACATGACCATTTAACCCTGTTTCTTTCTTTTCCTATTAGTGGCTAAACGGGTATCGATGTTTATCTGGATAACATGTTGTATACATAAGATCTGTTTCTTTTCTAGATTGAGACTAAATGACCATTTAACCCTTCCATTCCAAAAATCAAATTTCACAATATTCATCAATTTTATCGTGGGAGAAAAAGAGAAGGGCAAATGAGTAAAGGGTTAGTGTCTTAATACATTAAGCCAAGTTTTTTGGCTTAACCCATTTAACCATTCAGTCTAGATTAAGTAAAAAAGAAACAGTCATCAGCCATGTATAGCTTTCCAGATCAAGACCCATTAAGGTAAAAAAGAAACAGCCCTAAGTGCTATTTGTATAATGTGTTTTATGAATATATTATCTTTAAAATATAACTGAAAAAACGATGGTAAGAATTTACAGTATGTGCAAAATGGTCTAATTTCTTCACATTCAGCAAGCTAAAAAAAGTTAATGGAGAAACGAACATACCCAGTGACAAATCTTGTTAAAAAGAAGTTCCTCCATGAATGGATAAAGGTAGCCATCATATTCAGCTATGATGACAGCAACATGAAGGTAAGAATTGACACGTGAAGAAAGTGCAAAATAATCAGCCGTATTCACAATGTCAATTCCATGAGGATAATTCCCTTGTCTCCCAACATTTTCCTGAAAAGCAGCTGCAGCTGCTCTTCTACAATTAACCTGCAAAATTCATTACATACGATACAACAATTATTCCATTAAGTGGACTAAACATGCAACAATATGATATAAAATTATAAATCACGAAAAAGTGTTAGTTGGCACCTCACGATCATAACATGCAATTATTAAAAGATGTGGTGCAAGTTGATCCAGTATGCCCTTCATGTCAGTGTGACTATATGCACGACCAAATGCCCAGCAAACATAAGCAGCAGCATCACGGATATGTGATCCAATACTATGTGGACCTCTTCTTACATCATAATGCAGTGCCTACAAACAAAAGGTAATCATATAGCTTATGGGTTAAGAAATAGCAATGTACTTTCATTGATTTGTATATTTTTCATTTTTTCAATTTACAGCAGAAATTCTATCCATTTATAGCAATTCCATCCGAATACAAAGCGATTTTCACTGGTATAATTGGATAGATTTTTAAGGTTAATGTCCTAATAAGAAAAAAATTGAGAGTATAATGCTATAAATAGGTACTTGACAAGTAGAGAACCTTAATTACAACAGGTACGACTTTAGGAAGGCTAACAGGTAAGAGTAACCCTCTACGTGCCAGCTCAGCCAATGCCAAGCATCCACCATGCCATGATCCATCACCCTAAAGAATAAATGAAAAGTATAAGATAACATGGCTTATAACTACACAGTAATTAAAAAGCAAGAGTGTGTTTTTCCATACCTCACCAGGTGAAAATAGTTCTAATACAGACAAAAGGACTTCCTCTGCTAGGGTATATGTAAGACGTGAAGTTATACGCCCGATACCTTTTGCAGCAGACCAACGAACAACAGTATCCTGAAAGTCAATCATAAGAAATACAAATAATTAGAGAATGGTTTACTATTTTTAACACCTCTAAAAACATTTTATAAACCTACGGTATCTTTTAATCCAGACAATAGCAACTCGATGATCTCTTCAATAATATCAGGAACATCCATCTCTTCATTTTGAGGGTAGGAATTTTGTTCTGAATTGGATGAACCAAAATTGGATGCATGACTGTGATCAGTTAGTGATGCATTTTGTAATATATTCTTTCCAAGTGTAGTGTGTTTACCCTACATTGAAAGAAAAGAAAGCAATATCAGAATATAAGTCCCTCTTCTTCCTAAGTTCATTCAGTAGATTATGATATCATGCATGTTATTAAGATTAATAACTGAAGATAATTCAAATCTCTTACCACATAGCGCCAGGTTGTTGGACGATGGGGTAGACTAGTGAGCCCCATTCGTTGTGTTAATTTTATTAAATATTTGCGAAGTAAAGGACTACGAGCTGCAGGGGTAGACTTGATCAAGACTGATGTGTCATTCCAAACAACAGGAACAATATCAAGTAATGCTTTCCGGCTTCCACTCTAACATATAAAGATTATAAGGCAAGCTCAAAAAACCATAAAATAAAACAAACAGCAGGATAGGGAGTAAGGTATAAGGCATTAGATTTAGCTTGATATATGCCATGATTCACATTAGTAGGCTACACTATATTTATATTAGGACTTAATGCAAGAAATAGCAAAACACTTTCATATATTTGTGTATGATATGATAGCAACCCACTTTCATTTCTTTCTATTACAACATTGTGCATTCAACTTTTTCCTTATGAAGGCATTGTACTTTGAAAAATCTACCTAATTATTGCATTGTAATTTCAAATTTTTTTTTTCTTATCAGGATTCAGGACATTATACTTTGAAAACTAGTGAAAATTGCTTTGTATTTGGATGACATTGATGTATGTGGGTAGATTTTTGAAAGTACAATGCTGTAATAAGAATAAACGATAGCAGGATGCTATAACAAACAAATCAATGAAAGTACATTGCTATTTCTTGCATTTAACCCTTTATGTTATGTAGTTTCTTACAGAAACTAATAGTAACATCTTACAAATGAATAGCTATTAAAGAGATTGATGTGCTAATGGATATAAAAACAGACCTTGAAAATAGCAGCAAGGGATTCTACAGCACCAAGTAAACGGAAATGATGGATTACATCTTCTGTCGCAGAAGATAGAACTTCGTGAGTCCATTCAATAAAGCTGAAAAGAAACAAAAATTGTATAAAATGTAAGCTTAGCACAGCAACTGGAAAATCTCTCCATTTTAGTGGCTGCAACTTCTATTCAGAATTGTTTTACAGAACACGATAAAGTTAAAACTTAAGTAATGTCTGAATCCTGATGGAGAAAAACCTGGTATAAGCAGGCAACATATCTGGACGTGTTAGAAGCTTTGAAAGAAGCAATCCAGCTATAGTTTGCATGGGACCCGCATTTGAAAGGTACTCCTTTGAGATCTCTAATATCCTACTCACTAAAGGGGGTGGTTCATTTGCCTCAAGAGAATGAGCATCTGTAATACTTGTATCAACAGATGATATATCAAAAGGAACCAATACAAGTATTGATAGCCATAATAGTATAACACATTTAGTCTCCATCTCTCCAGTACTTTCTTGCCTCAATGTTGTCCCTGTAGTTGTCCCATGACATTTCTCCAAAAGAGACACTGCTGGTTCTAGATCAGAAACTTGATGAGGAAAGAACCTGATCACAGCCTTGTACCCACAAACTGTCACTAATGAATAAATTATAATACATAGAGGCTTGATTACTTCAAGAAGTTCATTGGACTTTACACCTTGTTCAAGTGTCCTTGAACGAACAATAAGCATCAGGGGAGATATTATGGTCTCCAGGTATGGTTCTAATAGCTGTCCTTGTTCCTGATATTTGTCCACCTGTATGAAAAGCAACATAGATATGAAATGCTAAAGAGTAACAGAAGAAACAATTCGTTTTTTTTTTACAAACAGTGACGAATTTTCCAATAAAACATCAAAACATTATCACGAACAACTAACATTTAAACTACGGTGCTACAAATTTCACTTCAAACTCGAACTAAGCAGCTCCAGTTCTAATAGCGAACACTATCCAATAGGAATTTGAATTGTGAATGAGTAACTGAACATATAAAATGCAGCTCATTTTCACCCAGTGTGAAAAGTTCTCCAATAAAGCATCAAAAACCAACGATATAACCAAAAATGCTATCAACATAACGTCAGTTCTAATAATGTTACGGAATTTTTCCAGAACATAAAGAGCTGATAAGATCAGTTTAATGCGAATCCCAATTTCGAAACTACGTAATAGAAATCTGAAATGCTAATTAGTAACTAGAACATACAATTGATCGGATCTTGTGGACCGAGGAGAGATCTACAACTCGGCCATTGGAAATGATGTCGTCGAGGATAGACTTGACGACCTTCCATTCTAGTAGAAAGTATCTCTGAAACACCGCCTCTTTTGAATCGTGTTCATCGTCCTCTTCCAATTCTTCACCCGCCACCGAAGGTTTTGCTGCATCTTCTACTTCTCTTGCCGCCATGAGACAGAGTAAAGCGATGATCTTCTTCTTCCCGCGCTGTTATGCTTTGATTTGCTGGTTCGTTTTGAAGAACTCCCTGCAAACCTTCGGAAAAACCTTATGTTTTAATTATTTGGGTCTAAGTGTTAATCTCAAAATTATTTAGGATCAAATTCGATAAACCGGAAACTTTGAGGTCCTTTATTGAAATTTATCTAAGAATGCAGCACCACATTTCTTTGAAAAAGGTTTTAGGGCATCATAATCTTAATACGAATATCTATTTTCACATCTAACTTGGTACAAAGTTGTTCACTTAAAATCAAATCTTATAACAAGTTTGGTGTAATACTAGATATATGATTAGACAAACTCCAACTATAACATTAGACTATACGGAGTGGGTGCGGCCTGGACCGCACTCCACTTGCCACATAAGCACAAACACCGCCCCCTAGGTGCGGTCTAGGGTGCACTGCGGCCTTCGGAGGGAGCGATCAATGGAGGAATGTGATTGGGCAACGCATTTGACAGCTGCAAACGGTAAAAAAAAATGAGTTTTTTATTTTTTTTCTTTTAAACTTTAACATCTATTTAAACCATTCAACCCTTCATTTTTTTTTTGATCTTTCTACTACATTACCTCTCAAAAAAAAATGTCTTTGTCTGATTCTTCTGAAGAGTTTGATGTTATGTTCGATGTTTTTGTCGCCGCTGCTAAATTTGCAGAACAAACGTATGAAGCGGCATGCAGTAGGGCATCCGACAGTGCTAAACAGAGAACACGGAGATATATTTTTAGAAATCGTGAAGATGCAAACCAACGTTCGATACACGACTACTTTAAAAAAAATGTCACTTTTCAAGGATGTAACGAGGGAGTGTGATTTTTTCGAGCAACAGCCTGATACTAGAGGTACACCTAGTTTCACCCCTTTATAAAAATATACAGCTGCACTTCGTCAATTAGCATATGACATCCATCCTGATGCGTTGGACGAGAGTTTTAGGATGTCAGCTACGACCGCACGAGATAGTCTACACTATTTTTGCAAAACTATTATTCAGTTTTATGGTCCAAAATATTTACGTAAGCTTACACGCAATGACATCATGAAATTGCAATATCATCAAGCTAACGTACATGGTTTTCCTGGAATGTTAGAAAGTTTAAATTGTTTACATTGGGCATGAGAAAATTGTCCTGCCTCACACCATGGTCAATTTACTCGAGGTGATCATGGGCATCCAACGGTCATACTTGAAGCGGTGGCATCACAGGATCCCTCAACGACATTAACGTTCTTAATCGTTCAACTATATTTAACAACATATACGACGGATCTGCACCGGATTCTTCTTTCCAATTGCGTGGAACACCATATACATATGGTTATTATCTAGTTGATGGGATCTATCCTGAGTATGCAGTTTTTGTTAAATCGTTTACGTGTCCGAATGATACTCGTCAGAAAAAATTCAAGAAAGCTCAAGAAAGAGCTAGGAAGGATGTCGAGCGGGCTTTTGGAGCTCCCAGGAAACGTTGTTTTATATTGAAAAAGCCAACGATTTTTTTCAGCGAGGAAAAAATGCATGAAGTCATGTATGCATGTTTAATACTGCAAAATATGATTATCGAAAATGAAGGAAGAGCGATATGTGAGTATGATGAAGAGGAAACCATTCCAGCGACACAAATAATAGAAATTGGGGGCGACGAGTACATTGAAAAGAGAGCAAGGGTTCGTTGCAATGTAACATTTCACACAATCTTTGTATGGATTTGGTGGAACACATTTACGGGATGCAATACATTAACCTCAATTTGGATCCGGATGATGACCCGGAAGACGAGTTCTCGGAGGTCGACTTCATGTAGTGTGTTTATTTTAAATCGTTTAATGTATGTTTCTTTGAGTTTGTAGGTTTAAAATTTCTAGTGTTTTTTTTTTTTTGAAGTTTGTAGGATTTTTATTTGGGCAATGGAATGTAATATTATTTTTATTTTGAAGTAATGCATTGAATGGTTTTTATTAAAATATAGTTTTTACTTAATTTAAAAAAAAAAGCAAAATGTGACATCATTCATTCGATGTGGTATGAAACCACACTTTTGTGGTAATGGGTGAGGTGACGCCTACGTACCACTGCGGTTTCATGAGCAGCACTCCCTCGAGCCTTAAAATCTATATTATTTGAGGGTAATATCCTATTGTTTATTAAGTTTGAATTTTTAGTATATATTTAAGTTTGTTAACAAGATTGCATTATCTTAATTTTTTTTATTCTATTGTATCATAAATCATAATAATTATAAAACATAATACGATAGAACATTAAAACTATATACACTAAGCAATTAGATAGTAATTAAGATAACTATTAGTAATTAGATAGTAACTATGGCGTCGTAGTTCGTGTACATGTTTGAGGTCTTAGTCTACTCGGTATGAGCAACGCCATAAGACGTTATGTTGATTTGGTAGCTCCCATAACGGCCCCATAACACCGGAACACCGCCCCCCTCTCATGTTATTTGGTGTTATGTTAAGAAATGTTATCATGGTCACGAGAAATAACGTGAGAATCAACCAATCAAAAGCCATTATCTCACTCTCTCTCTAACTCTCTTTGTATCTCTTAACATGTTATAACATTTGCACACCATTTCCTATATAAAACAAATGGTGTTAAAGATGACATGGCATATGAGTTGGCAAATTTTGGGTATGATAACATGTCTTAACATGTTGCCCACACCCACCAGCCTTATATAAAACATAGAGGCATGACAATTGATATCTAGATCCCTACCCCATATTAATAAGATTTATGTGTCGGTTGCGGTAAAAGTTTTATAAGATTTCTTTATTTCTCATAACTTCATATTCATACTTACCATCGAGGATACACAATTACATATACACTTTGAATAAAAGTTTTATAAGATTTCTTTATTTCTCATAACTTCATATTCACACTTACCATCGAGGATACACAATTACATATACACTTTGAATAACATATAATACAAAACGGCAGAACATGAACTAATTATACATTATG